AAAACACACTTGTCTGACCTCAGCTACAGCTTATTGTCGTAACGTTGTTTGCCTTACTCTTTCAGTACGTGTAACAGAGAGAATCGAATTCTGCAGGCTGCGTATGTTGATTTGTTAGGAGTGACTTTTGCGTTAGCTAGAATTTATTCGAACATAGGACTATGCTAATCGTGAAGCTTTTTTTTTATATTTTACAGCTACTGACTGACGCTGCTTGGTTACATTTTAAACCGACAACATTACAATGAGCGTGGATTCAATATGTGAGTCTCTTGAATGACTGGAAATGTTGCTGAGCAGGGTGGTGACACATGTTTATACCATCGCGTCTAACAGACGAAGGGAAAGATTTTATTTAAGTAACAAGAATGCTTGAATGATCCTTAGTCGTTCGCACATACAACTGATATCTCCAAGATTTTTCTCGTAAGTTGCAGAAGGGGAGCTCTACCCTGGGCAATAGGCAAGGCTTTCCGACGGCCAAACGAAGCTTTCGTTTGTGTTATCTAGAAATGAGCAGATGTAGTTAGTCAACAAGTTATTATAAACCTTAATACTGAGCGAACATTAATTCGAACACTCATTTTTAACTTATTATTGTAGAGGAGTGAAACTCAATCAACTCAGACAAATCTCATGTTCACCAACATTTCCCCACTCGGCCATTATTCCAAGCAGTTTACTATTTAGTAAAATATTTCTCAATAAGTTTCTGTGCTCCTCTGTATATAATTTAGCAGTCAATTTTTCGCGGAGCCAATTATTGTTTACTGGTTCTAAAAGGCCTCAAAACATCGTTTCGAGATACCTCTTAGTGGTCATTATGTGCAATATTCTGTGATGTATTGATTAAGATTCGAGGGATAGAGATATATTTTGACCATAGCTTTCGATCACACATAGCTGAATAAGGGAATAAAGTTGAGGTTCGCATCACTTTCGTTTGAACGTTCATCCTTCTTTCTTGACATCAGTATTCTAGTGAACCTACACCCAAGAAGGGTGTAGAATTCCACGAATTAGCAGCACGTATTCCGAATAGGGGTTCGAACTCCGGACGTGTGGGGTAAGCGTGTTACCCTTACTCCACCAGCGCATGCTGAACGCGTCTGAGTTTTAAGTCTAAACTGACGAACGTATTAACTCCTGAGCGGTATTACCGGTTTGCCCGACTCCTCGATCGGAGACACGGTAAGTGTCTTGGTTGTGTCAATCGATTGACCCACCTGTCAGGACTTCCCAGTCGGGACAACACCTGTGCAAACGAGATGATTTGAGTTGGGAATCCTTAAAGCCCTCAAAACACCCACAAATAACAAAAGTTAACTGCTCTGAATGTCCGGTGAGTCCAACGTGAGTGGCGGTTTTCTAGGGCTAGGGGTTGACTAATGGGGTTCTTAGTGTAGCGCAAGTAATAAGCGTAACTCATTTATATTCCCGTCACAACAAAGTCTCCGTTGTGATAAAATTTCTTGATTGTATGGAAGAGCCGATTGTCGAATATCAGCTTCTTCTTTCATGTGAATGCCTGAGGACCGGTTTTATCAGACAGAACCGATGGCCAACTTGTCTGCTGATGGATGTGCACCATAACAAAACTGATAGCGTTTAGTTTTTTCAGTGACTTTGTCTAACCCTTCTTTGTCTTCCAAGTGGTTTTTGAAAATGTGAAGTCCGTATGTGGAGAGTTAACTCTTGGCACCAAATACCTCCATACACGAGATTTATTGAGGGGAATTGACTTCACACTGTAACCTAACGGACGATTCGTCTAATCAAATCTGCAATCGTGCTTGTACTTTCAGGCCACCAACTGAATTCGTGTTGCCAATGCGGATACAAACGCTGGATCATTCTCATTTTAGCAATTATTGAATTATTTTGGTTCAGTGGATATCACTATGGCTACAATGCGCTGGTTCCGGTATACGAGGATTTAGGAGTATTTATCTCACGATGCCAGCCGAATGAGGTAAAATGCCCTGCTCAAGAAGCTATGTTCAATGATGCATTTATCGTCTGGATTGCTTTGCAAATGCTTCTTGTCACAGGAACCGGATACCTCATGGACCGTATTGGACTACGTGCACTGAAGTTGATCGTCACTCTTATCTACTTTGTTGGTACGCTCATGTTTGCTTTCACCAGTAGAAACACGAGCACGCTGTTCTTCGTCGCCGGGATTTTTGTAGCTCCAGCCGCGATGTCATCGCTAATTTGCAACCATCAGATCAGCTCACAGTTTCCCAGATATCGTGGATTTGTAGTATCTCTTTTGTCAGGCGCTTTCGACTCCAGTGGTTTCGTGACGTATCTCATTGGACAAACAGCACCCGGAATTTCCCTGCGGACTTCATTCGTTGTACTGGCTTGTTGCGCTCTGATATACGGAACCGGCATGGGCCTATTTGCACTGAAACAATGGTCTTCAGAAATGGGTGAGCTTGAAAAGCCGGAGGAAGTTAAAGACGTTCCAGCAAAAGGCGATGAGTCAGATACGGTAAGATTCTGGATGGGTTTGTACGATGTTGCGCATCGAATGAGTGTTGCATCACTTTTTAGACTTACTGCACATAAAATGCCCGATGCTACTGATGTTCATCAGTAGTCTCAGTAACCACAGTGAACATGAAAGGAAGCACCGATTACTGAATAAGTCCGCAGGTCACATCATACAAGTATGCCGTTCTACTACGTCCAACTTCCTTCTGAAATTTCATCAATCGTTTACTAGTTAGGTTGCTTATCTAGACGTGCATAATATCACGTGCCATATTCGTAGTTTTGTTTCTTCGTCAAATCGACCCGAAGCTAATATGTTTTTTATTATTTATTTCACAGTCTAGAAATCTGGACTCATTGGATGTCCGAATTCAGCGGCATATGGAAAAGCGCTATACTTCTTTTGGTAGCTGTATCAATTCTTGGCCGTTTGCCTTGGTCACACTTTGGTTTATGGTGGCTCTACTCCGTTTTTGCTATTTCCTAACACAAATGAGCCAACAGTTAGCCTACCTGTTCGGTGATGACACGCAGACCATCAACGAGTTACAGTCCATTTCGGCCGCGTTGCTTATGTGTGGGTTTCTCATCTCACCGGTTTCCGGGGTGGTTTTGGACAGTTCAAGAGCCCTTTTTCGTCGGCGTATGAGCCGCAGCCCAATGGCTGATGATGCTGAATTGTACTGGATGAGTCTTCGTGGCATTGCTCCAGCATTTCTGGTGTTGGCCGTAGCTGCAGTGATTGTGAGTGGACTCCTCTTTGTCAAGTCAAAGATTACGTACTATATCGCTTTTGTGTTCTTCGTTCTTTTACGATCTTTGTTGTTTAGTGCTTCGGTCAACTTTGTACTCACTGCCTTTCCGATTGAACGTTTTGGCACAGTGAACGGTTTAGTCAACACGATTGGTGGCATCTTTAGTTTGCTTCAATACGGTATAGTTCGTATGAGCGCTGTTCCGGGTAATGCGTTGGTTGCGGCTTTAACAATTTTACTCTTTATTTCTCCTTTGGTACTTCTTACCAAAAGCCGTTAGACGTGATATCTCCTTAAAGGCATATTTTGCTGGCCGTACATAATTCATTTCCCATATCTTCATAGAGAACTGGGCTCTAACTCTTTATTTTAAAAATGCCTGTTTGTTTGTTGTTTATTTTTTTCATTTTATTTCACTACTGCAGTCCTATCCAATAGTTTTCAGACTTCCGATGTTTCGGTAGTTGCGGCAAAATGTGGTAACATGTGTTGTAATGTGGGTAGTCAGAATGGCAGCAGCATTCGACGTTCACAAGAATGTAGTGATGAGGCACACTCATTCTGGAATGAGGAAGTGTTAATACGTGGCACAGAATCGCAGTGGCTGAGCAAAACATAATAGAAGTGCAGAGGGAGGCAACAACAGGCTTTTACCGAACCAGGAGCAATGAACCCAAATCAAGCAAGGTACAAAAATGGTTTGGTGATTTTCAGTAGTAGCCTACCTGTATCTTGTACCTGTAATTAGCTTACCCCCGCCGGGGGGAGGGAAGGCTCGTCAGGGTTCGTTTCGGCCCACCTGCACGGCATACATTTGCGTGGTTATTGCTGTTCGTTTTACTGCCTTTGTTCTAATCTTGCTTGATTGAAAATAACTGGTGTTCCTGGTAGTGCCAGATAGTTCTATTTTCAATCTTCTACGACATTGACAAAGTATATTATCTTTCAGAAAGGCATATGACCTCAGCTGGCGAGTTCTGCTTCAGAGCAGAAGAGATGCATGGTTGGTTTAGGAAGAGATGGATGTGGTATATTAATTTGTAAACAAGTTTGGCTGATTTGGACTTATTGGGTGAAGGTAGCAGAACTGAGCATTTCCGGTTGCTGATCGCAAAAGGAGACTGCTACAGACCACACCTTTGTGCATGTTGTATATCAGTTGATGAGATTTCTTGGGTAAGCTCATGTGACGTATTAGTTACTTCCGTTCCTTGAGAGCGACAAATGTTCATACAGATAAACGGCTTCACAACATTGACCTGTGTATGATAAGGAGCAAATCTGTCATGTCGAAAGGACGCATCTACAACATCTAGATGGATTACGTTTAGAATACACGACTCCACTGCCAAGACAAGGAGCCATTGCACAGGGGCTTGAGGCTGCCAGATGTGTTATCGCTTGTGACGTTCCGTAGTTGACTTCAAGAGACTCAAATGAAAGTGCACACATTGTCATAACACACAAGTGGTGGAATTTTCCGTAACATAAGTGTTACAAATTAAATGCAGATAAGAGAGTGAAGTGATAACTATCGTCTGCCTTTCGCTCGGATCAACGGGTCAAACGTCTGAAAGCTCTGTTGGATACCGCTTGTCCCACTGGCCCACATGAGTAGATCAAGCAATGCAAGTGGATTTCTTCTATACTTGTGGAGTTTTACAAAATGTTGGCCACAGAAATTCACAATCGCAGAAAGTGACATTGGTAGGACGTTAAACGAACTGACCAATTTATCGAAATTGGCAGATGGTTGCTTCCTGGAACAGACACCCAACGGTCTTCCAGTAGCTGATGGGGAAACAATAGTCGATTACGGTCTTAGCTTTAAATGTCCACAGTCGTCAGCAGAACTGTAAAGGCGCCTCTGAGTTCTCCTGATATTGCAACGCTCTATTGCCTTTTGCAATGTAACACTCAAAAAGGGATACCGGGTAATCAAGAATCAGAGCGTGATACACGAAGAACGGCTGAAAATGGCCAACCTATTTAATCGACAAGGCTGACGTTGAACTCGAGCGCTCACAATCTCGTGGGTTCCAAAAATGTGAATGAAATAGATTGTAGGTCTTAAACTCTAAAGTATTTTGCATAAATCTGGGGAGAAAGTACAAGTTTCAGAAAATATTCGTGCAGTGTGGATTGTTTTCCAGACAGTGCGCTGGACAGGAACACATCTGTTGGCCGCAAGTTATTTCACGCGTGAAGCTTTCAGATTACCGCAGCTTTCTGCAGTATATTCTCTCAGAGCTCAAATAAACCAAGCACATACCCTGATTCTCCAAATACGTGAAAGCGTAAAAACCATAATAATTGATATCCAACAATCTTTATAAGTGTTTTAATTGAGGTCAGAAATTCGTTAAAAGTCGGAGTCGGTTAATAAATTAAGCAAGTGAACTACCAAAAATGGACCATCGTAAGACGCAACTAAATGAAGGAAAGGCAGACGACGACGCTACGAAACCGGAAGCCAACCAGTCAGAGCGGGAACAAGATGTATTTGTACACAAGCTAATCAATGCACCAGCCAAATGCGAGGAATACAGACCACAGTGCAACACAGTTCGAAACGGACCCGTGGGATTTCGAGAAAGGTGCCTTAGTTAGCCTGTCACGGCAATACACATCAACAATGCTTTAAAAGCTATATAAACCCGATTGTACAGGTAGTAATTGGTCATTCCGATATGTAGTGATCATCATTTTAATTGGTGAGAAGACTTTTAGGAGGTCAGATCAACGGCCAGCCCATCAACCATCAACAACTGGGATTTCTGGGAAAGGGTACACCTTACTGTTTAACAGTTTGTCAGAATGACAATATCTCCATTCAATAAAGGTCTGATGATGTCTAGTTAGTAGCGATTTCTCTCTCACAGAAACAAGGAAACTATCCTGTTTTTCATGGGAGCTAAACAGCAAGAACTTAAAAGCGGTGGCTTTTAACACTGAACGTACAGCGGTAAAGGGTGTCAACTGACACCTGCACATGCACTATTCACTGTGGTTTACCCGAAGACCAGCTAGGTACGCTTGTGGTTTTCTCTGAAAAGAAACGCCATAAACACGTCAATTGTTTGTCCCTCAATCTACTTTTCGCTGAACGATACACTGCTGGAAAACACGTGTAATGTTTGTACCCAGTTCACACGCCATTAGTAGCAAGTCCGCATAACTGGTGTCCGTTTGGATAAACTGAAGCTGTGGTGTCGCTTTTCTAATGCAACCTACCTTACAATCTAGCGATTTTCGGCGTTGCTACCATCGCCACATACTGTGTGCTGAAATTACTTTGGGAAATGGAGAATAGAAGACTTGGTTATGCTAGCAAAATAACTTTCATAACTTTCCTCAGTCCTAGATACAACTGAAGTGAGACGAACAGAAACTCACTGTACTCGGTATCGCACCTGACATCCCCCTGTAGAATGACCCCCCGAAGAAACAGGCCTGAATTAATCAGCTGACCAGGAAGCAATACGAAGAAAATGTGCAGAATGAAATAACCCCAAATGCCGCAACCAAATTGTTTGCTAAGTTGCACGGCGCCTCGTTTGACAGATGTTGTGCCGTCCACATGATAATACGGATAAAGTTCTGTTCCCGCATACATTCGGTTTTCGTCGCCTCAAGTAACTTTAACCGCATTAAATGACGTGTTTTAGTAAAAGTTTGCATAACACACGTGTTGTGGAAGGCTTTTAGCACTAAATTAGACAATCGTGCTCAGCCATATTGGTGAAAAGTTTCCTATGTAAAGAGCAACTATGGACCGGAAAGAGTCCCACCGCAATTGCATGACGCGATTCTAGTAGCTCACCTACTTTGAATAAGTTAAAAGTGACCTGTACACTTCCCCATACAAAACTGTGATTGCGTCGCGTGGTAAAAATCTGAAAATCGAGCACATGCTCCCATATCAGCTAAGCAAAGCTACTGAATTCTAGGACAGGTTCCTATGGGGATTTCCATCGAAATCTGTCCCAGACTGTTGTGTTACATTGCTATGAAAGGTGAGGCAAAAGAAAGCTCTAAAACGCCATGTAACATTTCACCACATGGAAAATTTTCACTGTTTGACCCATGTTCTAATAGTGCAGCACAAACCGGACCGGCCATTAGGATAACGGTTAAATAAGAGGGACAGTGCACTATCTTATTCAGACTACGGAAACACGATAAGTCAAAACCACTACACTGCATGAGGCTCATATATGTGATTCCAAATGAACAGCATGTACAGAAGAAGCTACTTTTATTGCAAAAAACACTTCCCTTGGGGTTTAACAGCCTGCTTTTCAAGGCAATAAGGCCACAGACAAAATTATGGTGATGAATGTGGTTCACATTCCTTGGCGGAGACCACTGAACGGTTCCATGTGTTTGATGGGAAATCCACAAAGAGCAGAAACCCTCAGGGAGCCCTTCTCGCACAACTTCGCCGAGGATGGAAACGAGCCATCGGAAATATGCAGACCATTATCAGAAAATCTGGTTATTACCATTTCTCTGAATAGGACCCTGAGGACTGACTCATCAGTTGTCAGAGACATTGATGAACGTGGTTCAATCATGCCCTCTGTGTCACGCATGCTGTCCATGCTGTTGATTCTAATGCCTAGTTTGCCTTTCCAGTAATTCTAATAGGAAGCCCACCGACACCACTGTATTCACACATTATTATTATTAGCTGCCACTTCCAACACAAGGTATGGGGGACAGTTCCCTTGTTGTAGTTTAGATTTCCCACAAGGTATGGGGGACAGTTCCCTTGTTGTAGTTTAGATTTCCTCACCTCAACCGCTCAGCATGTCTATTACACTTTTTGCATGAAGTAGCAAATGAATTTGCATACAAGCCACAGAATGCAGAATATTTATAAATTTCGTCGTAATGTTGATGAAGTGGGTTTGGTTGTAATCGCCCCAAATTGCCCTGTTTCCTTCACAAGTTCAAATATATGCGGTCTTAATAAGTAGGTGGCCTAATTTGTAGGGACAAGAGACAAATGACCATTTGAGCGGCAAAATTATTTTGCCATTTAAAGATCGTTATATACGGCAGGATGCAAAGTTTTTGGGAGTCAACAATATTTTCTAACAATTCTGGAGTGATAATGACCCCTATCCTACTGTTAGGGACCGTTTTATGCGAAAAAACTTCACCTACAGTATAACTTTCGCAGAGATACACTTTGACACCCACCTATGATCTCACCACTGAAATTATCACTGGCTTAGAATATAGAAAACCCTCCAGTTGATTCGTTTTAATG